TCCAGCCCCTCACATGCTCAAGTGCAGCCTGTGTGGCTTCGTCACCAACAACCAGCGATTCTACAAGCGACACCGCAGACTGCACAGCCGCCAGTACCAGCCCTCAGCCATCCGCTGCAGCCTGTGCGACTACTCCACCACGCAGGTGCGCAAGATGCGTGAGCACACCATCACCCACCACCACCTGTCTCACCAGCACTCACTCTCCAACTCAGAGCAGCAACAGCAGGGAGGTTTCTCCCACCCCTCCTCCGTGGTCGCATCCACGCAGAGGCCGCCCCTCCAAGGTCATATGTTAATGAGCGGCGGCGGTATGTACCAACCGCTGAGTGGCCGCCCGGTGAACGTCGCGGTGGGGGCGGGGGCGAGCGCGACTGCAGCAATGGCGGCCGATACGTCTGGTCTGGGTCTGCCCACGTACATCCCCGCCCCCCACGACCCTCCCATACAGGTCAACAGCCAGGGCGACCTTCAACACCCGCCCCGCGGCAACGCCATGCTGGGAAACTATGCCGCAGCGAGCGACCAACAAGTGGCCAGCTACATGCGCTCGGTGCTCACCAACCTCATGACGCCCGCTAGCGGCCGGGGTGCGAACCCCAGTGGCTCGCTGACGGGCTCTGGGGTACAGCTGCAGGCGGTGAGAAGCTTCCCTCTGGAATCTCCCACCGTGATCCCATCCAGCACCGCCGCGGCCGCCATGGAGGACAACTACAACTACCGTCGCTTCTGGTCCACCGGGAGTGGCAACAACAACAACAGCAGCAGCAGCAGTAGCGGTGGTGGAGGTGGTCACTTAAACCTGTCGACTGCTGGTTTTGTCAAGGTCAAGGCCGAGCCGCGCCCCGTTCACGTGACCAGAACCATCTCGGACTTACCGTCCAGCACACAGGACCGGTGTCCTCGCCGGCCGTCTGACACCTTCGACAGCGAGTCTGGCATGGACATGAGCAGCGACGACCACCTGGGCTCCCCGCAGCCCGACACCGACGCCTCGCGCCTGGAAGGGGGGGTAAGCGCCTCCAACACTCACGCGGAAACTTCAACGAGCTCGGCCAACAACGGGCGCAGCACGGGCAGTGTGCAGTGCTCCATGCCCTTCATCAAGATCGAGTTCCCCCCGCACACGGACGCGTGTAGCGTGCTGACGCGGCCCCACCACTACACGCACATGGACCAGGAGACGCAGTGCGACATCCTGTCGGGGTCCCGGCGACACGGCAGCCGCACGCAGTCTGAGACGGTGAGCAGCGCGGGGGGGTCGGTGGTGGAGACGCGCTGTCACTTCTGTGGGGTGACGTTTGACGACGAGGTCCTGTACTCCATCCACGTGGGCTGCCACAGCCACACCGACCCCTTCGTCTGCAACGTCTGTGGGAAACAGTGTGGCAACAAGTACGGCTTCTACTCCCACATCATGCGAGGCCACCTGGCCCGCCCCAACACTTGATGGTGGAGGGGGAGACAACTCCTTTGTTTTGTTACGCTACTCTCTGAACCATTTTTGCTTAACGCCAACCAACTTTTTTCGTTTGTTCGTTTGTTTGTTTGTTCGTTTGTTGTTTTTTTTCCACCCAATTTGCAGCATTAGTTATGAGCTTGTGTACTCCTGTTTTTTACTGCGTCTTTCCGGCCTGGTTGTTTGGTCAATGATTGGCTTTGTCTTACACAGATTTGTATCTGTATGTGTATGTGTGTATCTGTATGTGTATGTGTGTGCGTGTGTGTGTGTGTGTGTGTGTCAGTGGCTTGTTTGTTAGTAGACACTGTCTGAGAACTGCTTTGATGCTGGCTTAACGTTGAATTTCTGATGGCGTTTCTGTTCCCGTGCCAAATCATACCTTGTGTTTGTTACTTCTTCATAGATAGCTTCCTTCACCCTTTGAACTCTGACCTCCTGAGGCTACTGTTGCCCTCTGCCTGAGCTACTCAGCGATATATTACTATTGCTAACATTTGTGTGATCGTCATAAATTCTTTGCCCTATCGACAGGCCGAAGGGCTAGAACCCAGATGGCCGCTGGATCGGTGGCTAGACATACTGGCATTTTTACACACCACCTAACTGCTTCTTTGCCTCTTGCCTTCTCACTTCTGGTGGATCTTCTAAGGGTTCACGGACCGTTTGCTTCTAGAACTTTTCCACCAGGTTTGGCCGCCACGTTCCGAAAAACTTTCTTGTCAGGTTTCGGAAAGAAGTCGAGGCTCTGTGGGAATCCATCTTGTAGATCTCTGCTCTGGCTCTCTCTCTCTCTCTCTCTCTCTCTCTCTCTCTCTCTCTCTA